TGCTAAACAGTCATGGTTTTCATAAGGATTTTTTAAATGTAAGTCTTCCTAAACCTACAGTTACTTAAAAAGAGATACTTCATCACAGGAAACACTGAGGATGGTAGAAATTTCATTCTTTTACTGCATATGTTTATTTGAATTATTTTTAGCGTTGAAAATTCCCTATGCATTAGTATGAATGTTTGAGAATAACAGCAGGAACAATTAATGTTAGCTGATACATCCCAAACAAAAACAACTGCAATCTTCACCTCTCTTTAGAAAATAATTGTTTCACAAGACAAGCCCCTTGGGTACAGCTTTTGATTTCCTAAATGCTGTGAAATAGCTATTCATAATTCAGGACAAGCAGCAAAGTGTCCACGTGCCTGTCCGATGGAGACTTGCAATGGTGCCATTTAGCTCTGTGCAGTATTGCTGTGCTACAAACACCCGCTTGAGTCTCAGGGAGATGGGAAGTGTTAATACTTTCTTTGTACGAAAAGTGAATATTCTTGATGACTTTTAGTGCCTGTTGGCAAGTCTTCATTTGTCTATTCATTCCTCCATTCAAGAAAAATCCCTGTGCCAGTCAATGTGACACTCAGTGATCCTTGCCCTGCTGATAAGAGTATGCAGGAACCACCGTGATGTTTCTGTAATCCCATTAGGAGAGTCAGTGACGTGGTTGGGACCATCAGCTGGCTCTCCTTGCCTACCCTGCTCTGTGCACTCCCCTCAACCACATAACCACACAGGTTGGGACTAGAAGGGATATTCACTTGTGCTACTAGCATTGGGTGAGAGCTGATGGCTAAATGGAAAGGTAACGTACTGTAGTAAAAAGAGAGACTTAGAGCTGGTTTTATCACATCGGTCACACACTGAGGGAGATGAAGTTGTGTATGTGTTTGTGTAGGAGAGGATGGTGGGTAAGAATTTTCCTATTTTCATCCTGTTTTACAGAGATTGAGGACCAGAGAGACTGGGTGGCTATCTCACCATCACACAATGTGTTAGTATTTGAACAACCATGTTTGAATAAATATTCCAATTTTTAGCTATTTACATGACTTTTATAAATATCCCAAAAGAATCAGGCTCTGTATTTTCTCATGGTGAATAAGCAAACTTTTAGTGTGTTCTTCCTAACGCTATTGCATTTATTCTGAAACAACCAGTGGTTTCCATGTCACTATTTGAGAAAAGCATGATCGAAATGAGTTTCGATTCCTTGAATTTGCCATGAGATTCCTGGCTTCTCTGCCTTTGCCCTTCCGTGTGCTCAGTCTTAAAATACCTCCCCTGTCCCATTTACTGCTGATTATCAAAGGGCTATTCATTCACTAAGGTTCAGCTCAAAGTATGTAACCTTTCCGTCAAGCCTTATCCCAATAGTCCCAGCTGAAGTTAAGCCTCTGTACACACAAGCGAAGTTACACCTCTTTATAGTGTTATTTCATTCTCTCGTTTGTCAAACATCTTTATTTCCCATTAGAAGGCAAGCCCCTTGAAGGAAGACACCTTGCCTTATTTATTTCTCTACCCCCTAACAACTAACGTACAAGGACACACAAGCTCTCTCTGAGCCCTTCTTTCAACTCAGATCAATTTGAAGATTAAAAAAATGGAAGATAGTAAATTTATTCTGGGAAAGTGGCATTGTTAGTTAACCTTGTCTCATCAATTAAATGCTAAGCTTCTTGAGGGCAGGAGGAGTCTTTGTCTAAAACTACCTTATTGTTTTCCACAATGTTGGCACCAAGTCCTAGGCTCCATACACTATGACTGATTTATCCAAGTGCATGAAAAGGGAAGTGAGGAGGTTGAGATAATCTATTAACTTTAGGGGGGATGGAGTTCTGGAAATGTGAGTTTCACTTGGCTTTTCAGATTCTGGCCTCTTTGCTTTTTTGTCGTAAGTCTAACCACATCCAGGTGTTATATTGTTAGGCACTTCCTTTTGGTAGATTATCTTACCCTTTCTCTTCAAGTTTTTGAAAACTTCATGCTCATAACTTGGCTTTTAGTTTGCTTTCATTTTGATTTTGAATTTTTGGAAGCAACTGAGTTAGTAAGTCTTAAAGTGAACTTGTTTGAGGTGTCAGTACATTTATAAATATATAATAAATACTACAAGTTTCTAAATGTTCTCTGCAGGGCCCTTCTCTCAATCTGGTTCCTGGAAACTCAACCAAGTGTCTGAACAGAGGTTGACAAGATGTGAGCAGAAATTACAGTGAGAGGTTTTTTTGGAGGTTAGGAAATAACTAAAAATGAGAATATTTATGCTGGCAAAGGTGTCGAAATAAAGTGGAGCAGTAAGATAAGTAAAGCAGCATGTGCAATGCAGGGCCAAAAGCTGTCTCCCACTTCAACATTGGAGTAGCCCTTAGCCTGCTTTGTCTTTAAAAGAGAATTTAGGTTGGGGCCCCTGGGTGGCTCAGTCAGTGAAGCGTTAGACTTCGGCTCAGGTCACAACCTCATGGTTTGTGAGTTCAAGCCCCGCGTTGGGCTCTGTGCTGACAGTTCTGAGCCTGGAGCCTGCTTCAGATTCTGTGTCTCATTCTCTCTCTGCCCCTCCCCCACTTGTGCTCTGTCTCTCTCTGTCTCTCAAAAATAAATAAATGTAAAAAAAAAATTTTTAAGAGAGTTTAGGCTATCATCTTGGTTATGCTTATGTCATTTTAACTTGTGAGACAGTACATCTATTCAGAATGGTGCTTGAAGATGAGTGAAATAAATTAGGCAGATGTATTGTATGTATTGCTGACAGAATAGTTCAAAACAGGGAAAGACGCTCAAGATAAAAACTACCAGGATATAGGAAAAGGAACTTAAAGAAAAAACACTCTCAAGACCTTAGCTCTAATGGAAAAATAGAAAGATATGGACCTCTACAGAGTTCTTAACTAAAAGGAGTCTGGCCTATTTTAGTTATTTTGATTTGCCAACACAGAGAGTCAGTTCAGTAGTGGAATATTCTATGATTTATATACACTCATCATGTAACTGATGCTAAAAATAATAAGTGGTTGTCGTAAGTGCCATTTCTCTTGCTCAAGTGCATGAGTCTTCAGAGGGACAATATAATCCAACAATTATCAGAGAATGAATATATATGTTCTAAGTAACTGACATTTGTCCCTTTGGAGGCCAAAACATTTTTTGAAGTGACTATTTCTGATGAAATTCTTTTGAATAAAATGGGTTGAATTCTTTGCTTCAAAAAAATGGATATATTAAACCTAATTGAAAGTTTTGCTGTGGATTCAATCTTCTCATTATGAGCATAGTTATTACTCTGTTATATAACACAATCATTCCCTCTGGCTAATTAGGAAATGATCATGAAGTTATGAGGATTATGTATCAAGTGAGAGGAGTTTGGGATCTTGCCATATTTATTTTGCTTGTTTAGAGAACATTTCTTCATCATGTATCTTGGTTCTAAGTTGCGTCCTAGATATTGAGGTTACAAGGTAAATGCTTTCATGACAGGTTAAAGGTAGTAGAACTTGCCAATAATGTTGATAATTTAAGAAATTATTTTTCTTGGGGCGCCTGGGTGGCTCAGTGGGTTAAACGTTCGTTCAACTCTTGTTTTTTGCTCAGGTCATGACTCATGGTTTGGGAATTCAAGCCCTCTATTCAAGTCCTGCTTGGGATTCTCTGTCTCCTTCTCTCCCTCTGCCCCTCCCCTCTCACTCTCTATCTCTCTCAAAAAATAAACTTTAAAAAATAATGAAAATAAATTATTTCTCTTGGCTTTATATTTTATGTACAATTGACGATTACTAACAGAAGGTTTGTAGAAGATAACAGAAAACCTGTTTCCAAGAAAAAACTCTCCCACCAAAACAAAGGGAGGCAATTTCCTGTATGCAGACCAAAAGAGGTACATTGTGTTCCTCCTCCCACTTTGGAAGACAAAACATTCAGGTTATGTCAGAACATCCTATCTTTCAACAATTATCTTGAGCTGCATGTGTCCTACATAGAAAAAGGCATGGAAAAAATTACAAGGCAGTACTAAAGCCTTTGAGAAACAAGTAAAGAAAATTTCTAATGCCAGGTACTATAGGGAAATAGTTGTTATCAAAAGTTCCTCTCTCCCACTTATTAGAATATATCAGAGCTAGTAATAGAAAATGTGGTTACTCCTCAAGACACAATAACAGAGTAATGGTTAATGAATTATAGAATAATGGACTCTAGTATGAGTTTGAGTCGTGATTCCCCTAATTATTAGCATATAACACTAGGCAAATTTCACCACATCAATTTCCTTATCTGTAAAATAGGTTTCATAATAATATATATTTTATTGTGAAGATGAAATGAGTTAAGATATTTGATGTGTTTTGAACAGCCCTTGGAATATAATAAAATAATTGAACAGAAATTGTTATTATTTGCTACTATTGAAGTAGCTACCAGATAATAAAATAAAATATTTTATAATAATAGCCAACTTGACAATAAATTATATTTAATAAAATAAAAAAATAAAAAAGAATATGGTAAGTGCAAAATATAATAATAAAAATATCAGTAATAGTTAAAAATTTTTTTTAATGTTTATATATTTTTGAGAGAGAGAGACAGATTGCGAGCAGGGGAAGGGCAGAGAGGGAGGGAGACACAGAATCCGAAGCAGGCTCCAGGCTGTGAGCTGTCAGCATAGAACCCAACGCGGGGCTCGAACTCACGGACCGTGAGATCATGACCTGAGCCAAAGTCGGACCAACTGAGCCACCCAGGCACCCCTAAAAATATCAGTAATAGTTAAGAAATTGAGGAAGTTATTGAACAATTGAGGAAAATTTTTTTCGACAAATACTTATTATGTGTCTACCATGTACCAGACACTTTGTTACTAGGAGTTAATATACTGAGAATGTTATCTGGGAAAATTGTAAGATCATATTTGAGAAATCTTTGGCAGAAACTGTTGAGTCGCAAATATCTGGTCCTTCCGGAGCATATTTGATTTTAATTTTGTTTTCATCTTTCAGGGCAAAGATCATGTAATGAACAACTGTATGTAAAGAGATATTCCACATACACTGTGTCAGCAGAGCATCCATTTAATCTGGAGTGCCCTGTGAAATACTGTACTAAGAAGCCTGTTGTGACCTGGTGCAAGCTCAAAGGAAAAAACTGTTTACCTCTTGCATATAAACTTCTGGGATACACAACTTGGAAAGAAGGGGAGAATATTTCAGTTTTTAGTCTTCATTTTAATCGCACGCTGGCTAGTGATTCTGGTTCATACCGCTGTTCTGCAAATTTTACATCTGGAGTTATTGAAAGCCATTCAGTAACCATTAATGTGACAGGTGAGTTCTGCACTCCAGGGCTATCTGATATTTTTTCAACATGTTTCAAGGAAAAGGAGGACCCAGATTCTCAAGTGATTATGTTAGACACTGAACTCCTGTAAATGAGAAGGTTGCCACACTCCTCAGATGGTGATCTGTGTGAGCACGTGTGTATGTAATTTTGAGGTGAGTGAGATAAAAAAGAATAGAGAAAAAAATACAATAAAAGTTCTTGTTCTTGCCTTTAGGGGGTATAGCATTTATTTGATAAATCCAAAAGTAGATCACTGAAATATGGAAAAAATTACAAAGTGAATACCAATAGTAGTAGATAGCTGTCTATTCTTTGTCCTCTTTTCCTTCTATTTTTTCGTCCACTTACCAGTCCTTGACTTTTGTTGATAACAAATCCTTGAAGTTACATTTGTGGTGCTCAGACAATTATAAGCTTGTTAATAATTCACAGTTTCCACAGAGAGCAAACAGCACACAAATAAACCTGACTCCCTGATGTGCTTTGAGGACGTTCATAGTTTTAACTGCCTCCCCAGTCCCTCCCAGAGGTCCTCAAATAGGCTCAAATATCAGGAGAACAGGTTGAAGTTAAAAACCTAGAATAAAAAAATGGAAAGCAAAGAGAGAAGTAGAGGAAAATTTTTTTTAAAAGTTTGATTTACGAAAATCTCACATCATACTCAATGGTAAAAGATTGAAAGCTTTTCCTCTAAGAACAGGAAGAAGACAAGAATGTCTGCTTTTGTCACTTCTATTCAACACTGAACTGGAAGTTCCAGCCAGAGCACTTAGACAAGAAAAAAGAAATAAAAGGCATCCAAATTGAACAAGAAGAAGTGAAACTATCTCTATTCACAGATGATATGATTATATATATAGAAAATCATTAAAAATCCACAAAAGCTACTAGAGTGAATAGATGAATTCAACAAGGTTGTATGATCAACTAAAAAAGTCAGTGGTATTTCTATACATTACCAATGAACAATGTGAGAGGGAAATTAAAAACAAAAACAATTCTATTTATAATAACATCAAAAAGAATAAAATACTTACAAATTAATCTAACCTGGGAGACTCAACACTTGTACACTGAACAAAATATGACTAAAAGACTTAAAATTGTTAATGTGGCAATATTTCCCAAAGTGATCTATGGATTCAATACAATTCCCATCAAAATCCCAACAAACGTTTTTTTTTCTTTTTTTGCATAGATGAAAAAGCTGATCCTAAAATTCACATAAAGTTGCAACAAATACAAAATAGCTGAAAAAAATCTTGAAAAAGAAGAGCAAAGTTAGAGGACTCACACTCCTTTATTTTAAAATGTACTACAAAACTACAATAATCAAAACAGTGTGGTGCTGACATAGTATAGATATAAAGATCAATAGACTAGAATTGAGAGTCCGTAATAAATCCACACATCCTTGGCCAATTGACTTTTTTTGTTTTTGATAATTTATCATCAAGTTAGCTAACATAGAGTGTATACAGTGTACTCTTGGCTTCGGGAGTAGATTCCTGTGATTCATCACTTATATAAAACACCCAGTGCTCATCCCAAGTGCCCTCCTCAATGCCCATCACCCATTTTCCCTGCCCCCCACCCCTTTCTACCCTCAGTTTGTTCTCTGTATTTAAAAGTCTCTTATGGTTTGCCTTCCTCTCTGTTTGTAACTATATATTTTTGTTTCTTTCCCTTCCCATATGGTCTTCTGTTAAGTTTCTCAACTTCCACATATGAATGAAACCATGATATCTGTCTTTCTCTGACTGACTTATTTTACTTAGCATAATACCCTCCAGTTCCATCCAAGTTGTTGCAAATGGCAAGATTTCATTCTTTTTCATTGCCAAGTAGTATTCCATTGTGTATATAAAACACATCTTCTTTATCCATTCATCAGTCAATGGACACGTAGGCTCTTTCCATAATTTGGCTATTGTTGAAAGTGCTGCTATAAACATTGGGGTATATGTGCCCCTATGAATCAGCACTCCTGTATCCTTTGGATAAACTCCTAGTAGTGCCATTTCTGGGTCATAGGGTAATCAATCTTTAATTTTTTGAGGAACCTCCACACTGTTTTCCAGAGTGGCTGCACCAGTTTGCATTCCCCAACAGTGCAAGAGGGTTGCCCTTTCTCCACATCTTCACCAACATCTGTTGTTCCCTGAGTTTTTAATTTTAGCCACTCTGACCAATCTGAGGTGGTATCTCACTGTAATTTTGATTTGTATTTCCCTGATTATGAATGATAGTGAGCATCTTTTCATGGGTCTCTTAGCCATTTGGATGTCTTCTTTTGGCCAATTGACTTTTAACAAGACTTCGAAACCCATTCAATGGAAAAATGATAGTTTCTTCAGTAAATAGTGCTGAGGCAATTGGATATACATACACAGAAAAATGAATTTGGACCTCTACCTCATACAACATGTAAAAATAAGTAAAAGTGGATCAGATATTTAATATAAGAGCTAAAACAATAGAATCTATGTTTGTATAAAATTTTAATACTATTTTTCCTTAGAGGAAAACATAGGAGTAGATCTTCATGATCTTGGATTTGTCAATATTATTTTGCTACAGCATCAAAAGCATATATACATAAATACATAAATAAATAAATTATACTTCATAAAAATTAAAAACTTTTGTACATCAAAGGACACTATAAAGAGAATGAAAAGACAACATATGGAATGTGAGAAAATATTTGCAAATCATGTATCTGATAAGGGACTAGTAACCAGAATATATAAAGAAGTCTTACAACTCAACAACAGATAAGCAACTCAATTAAAATGGGCAAAAGACTGAATAGACATTCCTTCAAAGAAAATATATAAATGGCCAATAAGCACATGAAGAAATGCTCAATGTCATTAGTTATTAGAGGAACGCAAATCAAAATCACAATGAGACACCACTCACACACACTAGGATTACTAGAATTTTTTTTTTAATGGAAAATAACAAGTGATAGCAAAGATGTGGACAAATTGAACTCCTTGTACTGTGCTGGTGGGAATGTAAAATGTTGCAGTTGCTTTGGAAAAGGTCTGGCAACCTTTCTTCAAAAGGTTAAACATAGTTCCCACAAGACCCAGCAATATCCAAGTGAAATGAAAGTATATGTCCACATTAAAACTTGTACATGAATGCTTATAGCCATACTATTCACAAAAGTCAAAAAGTCGAAACAATCCAAATGTTTGTCAAACTGACAAAGGAAATGTGTTATATTCATACAGTGGAATATTATTCAGGCAAAAAAGGAATGAAGTACTGATATGTTACAAAACAGTTGAACTTCAAAAACATTGTACTAAGTAAAAGAAGCCAGATATAAAAGATTACATATTATAATCTTGATTCTGTTTGCATGAAATACGAAGAACAGAAAAATCTGTGGAGATAGAAAGTGCCTAATGGCTGCCAGAGGCTGGCAGAAAGGGTTAATGGGAGTAACTACTTAATGTATATGGAATTTCCTTTGGGGATGATGAGAATGTTCTGAAACTAGATAGTGCACAATACTAGAGAGTTGTACAACATTACACTAAGTTGTATGCTTTAAAATATTAAAATAATAATATTTATGTTAAATTGACCATGAAGATTACTGCAAAGAGAAATTTCAAAGAGTTCTGGTGCAATAGTAATGTCTGAAATCTAAATGCAGACGTATGCAGTCACTTCCTCTATGGACACCATTCATTTGAATGCATACACTTTGTGTTTGTAAAAATTAATTTATTACTATATATGCACACTTTGGAGTCCATCTTTTAACTCCCTTAAAGTAACCCAATGAAGGAATCCACTTAAATTCCTTAAAAATCTTTTAAGTTATTTTAAGACCTCTGAAAACAGCCTGGTAAAGGAATGCACAACAATCTAGCGCTGGTTACAACCTCTATCATCAAGCACAGAAGTGTAGAAGGGATTTAAGGCAGAGTTGGAGACCCTGCTTTTGCAAATTTGTTATCAAACTCAATGCTAATTGCCTGTGACTATCCGTGCATTGGCTTATAAACCTCTTTGGAATGGAAGCTGTGTCTTAAACATCTTTGCTTCTCTACAAATAGATGGCACAGTGTGTAGCACATAGTAGGTGTTCAATAAATATTTCTTTATAATTCTTAAATGAATTAAATAACATCATCTATGCAAAGTGAAACAATTGCCTTTAACAACCTGGAGAAGCTTATACTATAGATTATGGAATGAATCCTTTCTGGAGAAAATTGCACATTCACATAATGAGGTAAAATATTGAATTTTTTAAGAAGCAGTACTTTTTAAACTGGCAAAATAAAATGATAAAAATAAGCAAAACTTGCAAAACATTACTTCCAGGATATTAATGATACTATGAAATAGTAATTCAGTGCTATTAGATTATTTATATAATGTATATTAATATAATGTATAATAAAATTAAATGCAGTGGCATTGAGTCCACTCTCCTTGGAAGAGGGACTGTCTTGTGTAATTCTGTCTTCTTTTGTGGGAATTAACCCCCTTCTGTGCAAGAGGGAGGAATTCAGCCAAGGTCAGAGGCAACCCAAAAATGACTTATGACATGGCAGTGTCCCAGGGGTATTACTGTGTCTCCTCTGTCCCATTTTGGGGTCATTCCACAGCCACTACAGATGGTTGCACAGTTTGTAAAGTGCATAAAGGTTCCTGTTCTAGGAAAAAGTCGGAGCTGAAATTAGGATCAACAATCTGTCTCCCTTGGGGAGGAAGGGGCCAAAGGGAAGAGAGGCAGCTTCTCTCTTGAACCCTGTGCCTGTGGGGGGCGGGGGGGTGGGGGGGGGCGATGTGCTTATTAGGATCACACTGGGGATGAGCAAGAAAGATGGAGATGTGAGAAGGAAAAGCTACCTAGAAGACAGGAAGGGCTTTTTAAATTTCCCTTTGGAGATTCCTATTCTAATTTGTACTCTCCTGACTTTCTTATCACTTTTGAATCAGTGCTCCTGCCCTAAGGGGAGGTCCCCAGGACTTTGCTTTGGCCGTCTACTCTTGTCTGGCAGCAACCTTCACTCTGGAATTGCTTCCTTCCTGGAGCTTCATGAGCATCTCAAACTTTCATTATCTTCCTTCCAAATCTTCCAATCAGCCGTATGGACTTTTTGTCTTTAGTGTTTCCTGTTTTAGTCCATTTCAGCCAAACATCTTCCTAATACACTTCACTTGCCTAATAAATGTCTTCCATAATGCTGCTCCTTTCCTGAGTCCCTGCAGAGCATCTGTGGTGCTTCCCATGTTGGGCTCCCATTTAACCAACATTCAAGGCCTTCCACAGTCCACCCACACCTACCTTCCTTGATTGCTTCTGGACTCCACCATGAACCTCTACTCCAGCCCCACAGCCTTACCTGCCATCGCATGTCTTCACCCTATGCTGCCTGCTCTCTCCACTCATAGGGCAACCACTCATCTGCCTCCACTTACCACAATTCTGGCCTTCCTGTCAAGCCCAGCCCATTTCCCACATTCTTAAGGAAGCTTTCCATGTTCACCCTAGGGGAAGTGATTTCTCTTTTCTAGCAAATTTTATGCCATTTAAGGTCTGTGCCTCTCATTTATCAGACATTTCCTTGCACTGTAGTAATGTATGGAAATGTTCTTTATCCCATGAAGAATTATAATGTCTGGAAAGCAGGAACTGTGTCATATTTTTCTGGGTCATCCTTGCTTCCTTCACAAAAGTCAAATGAATTATTTCAGAATTGGCTTTGAAATGGGTGTGAATTTGCCTTTTATGAAGTGATGAAAGCAAACATAATAGGGAAAGAGTTCAAGAAAAATTCCTTTTCCTTCTGTATGTGGGAGTACTCAGTGAGCTGAGTACCGAAGGAGAAAAATATACTATAAAATTATATTTAAAAACAATGCTTTGCATAAAAATGATGTGGAGGTGTGACACAAAAAATATTTCTCCCCTTCAAATATCTTTCTTTGGCGCTATTGGGAATTTTCCTGTTTTGCATCTGACTCTTTCTTTGTCCAAGTTAAGAATTGGTCCATGTAAGAACAGGGCTGTGGCAGAGTCAGGGCTTGGACGCTGCTGGGAAAGCAGTATTCTCCCAGAATGAGGAAAAGTGCTTTGCAAAGCCCCAGAAGAAAAGGTGACAGAGCTGGGGAACAATCCCTGGAATGCACATGGGCCTGTACATCCTCCCCAACCTCCCTTGGTCAGTCCGTGATTAGGAACTTCACAAAGTCAAGTGGTCATTCTCTTAGCAGAAAAGTGAGAGTGGTATGAGTAGGCAGGAAGTGAAAGGCACAATCTCTGTTTCAGAGTGAGTAGTCAGCATGGCCTCCAAAGCATCCTTTCCTTGTGGCCCTCCACACTCACTTGGAGCACCTGCTGAATGAGCATCCTGTTTTTCCAAGTGCCAGAAGGTGTCATACAGGCTGTATTCTGTCCTTATACTTAATAGGGAAAAGGGAATCAACGCAGACAGATGACGTTTGTGTTGTATTTAGGGTAATTTTTCAAGCCTCAAAATAAATCTAGGGACTTAACTTTGTGTCCGTGATCTTTGAGGTGGTGATTTGCACATCATGCAAACTCCTTTGAGCTGGGTTACTGGGTTCGGTTGGTGTGCAAATGCAGGAGTCCTCTCAGACTAACTCTGACTCTAGACACACATAAGTATTGTTTTTGCAACCAGTTTCAATTCTTTATCTTGCTTTTCTATTTCAGAACAGACTCAAAATAATTCAGAATACCCTCTAATAAGTAAGTATCAAACTAGTCAAATAAAAATAAGGAAATAAGATTGTTTCATGGTTGAAGAAAGGATAAAAGTTGGATTTTCCTAATGGAGTGAATTTTTTTTTGTATTAGGTTTTCTATGTGGGAACCCTTGTCCCTATTTCTATTCATACCCTGCCCCCAGACAGCTGTGTCTGTTGTTGGTAATGACTTGGCTGCTGTCCTAACCTAAGCAGCAGCTGCAGCATGGATAATGAAGACTTTGTTACCACTCTGTTGTTATCTAAGCACTATTTGCCCAGCTTCAGTAGCTCCTGACCACCTTTACCTTGAACCAAGCATATGAGGAAGAAGGTAGATAACTATGTTAATATATTTAGAAATAAAAATTTGCTGCATAAAATACTTAACATATATACAAAATTAATGCTGTGTGATGCATTCTGATTTTTTTCTATCCTGTTGTGATTCTTATTTTTAATGTTTTTTGTGGTCTATTAAATTGTTTCACGATCGGTCGATTAGTTGCAACCTATCATGGACAAACAGAACATTAACGCATGTTAACATTGCTCATAGCAATGAGTATAAGCTGTATGCCCGGCAGAGCATATTTGGAGATAACAAGGCTATCTGTAGATAACAAAATTATATAGTATATGGAGATACCAAAGAGTTACGAGACAACAAAAAGACCTTTGTGTTAAAGAAACTGGAATTTAGTATCAAAAACATGTTGGCTTGGGTCCCAACTACAACTCACTAGCTATCTGACCTTGGGTAAGAGTCTTGGAACAATCACCCTTTTATCAAGGCATGGAACTAGATAAAAATAACAGTTTCCTTACTTTTCTTCAGTGGTGAATATGAGAGTTAAGTAAGACAATGTCAATGAAAGGGCTTGGTGAAGTGCTTTCTGAGAGCTGTTATGGGTATTCTTTTAGAGAGGATCAATCCTAGCAGAATTACAAATTCTTACAAAAGATGAATTTTAACCCAGAGCCACCCACATATGCTCATCAATAAAGCAAGAGGTGGGTCAGAATACTGAGGCCAGGGGTTCTGTGGGAATGCATCCCGGAAGGGAAATAGAGGCATCAGCTGGAAATCTCCTTCATTCAAGTTCTGATGATGCAGGAGGTATTACCGATCCTATTATATCTGAAATTTCCTAACTGTCTTTAGCATTGACTCACATTTCAGATACAACTGGTGCCTCAGGACCACCCTCTCAGGAAGTGACGGCTGACAAACGATGGATGCTTTATAGTTTGCTTCCTTTGGGGGCATTGCCTCTGCTCATTACCTGTTTGTGCCTGTTCTTCTGCCTTAGAAGGCACCAAGGTGGGTTCTACCTTCCATCTGCTGCTTATATGCTACACATTTGGGGGTCAGTTACTAGGGCTGTTTGATTTTTAGTTGGTTCTTGTTTTCTTTCCCATATTCTGCAAGGAGCCATGGATAATGATTTCCTCAGGGACAACATCCTTCCACCAAAAAGACAAATGGATTAATTCAGGTCCCCTCCAGTCATAGAGAGGCATGTTCTCCACAGCACAGTGCTCCAGGCAGGGCCTGTGCTAAAGAGGGCATGTGGCTGGGACTGACCCATTCCACTTGTGTCTGTCTTAAGTTTATGTGCCAAGCAGCTCTTCTAAACTTTAAGGGTAGTGAAAGGGAGGTTGACATAATCTCTCAGGCCAACAAGTCTGCTTTGAGTTAGTTTGTCTCATCCTCTTTTTCAGAGCCACACCACATCATACCACTCATACATGCCCTTGCCTAAATGAAGACTGTATTTCCCAGAAGGAAATTCCTATGTCTGTACTTTCTTTTGCCACCACAAACACAGGCCTGAACTGAACTCTCACCCAAAAGTAATGCATTTGAAAAAATGTGGGTTTGGCTAGGACAAGAGAGGTGTGAAATCTTGGAAACAATTCCCTTCTGCTTGTTTAAGAATTCCTTTGGTGTCGGGAGCAAACACTTAAACATAGTAAGAAAGAGATGTGTAGAGAAAAGAGATGTGTAGAGAATTCTGATGCAGCTCTGTTCCAAAACATCCCTGTTCTCTCTCTCTTTACTTTTCCCGCTCTGCCATCTCCTCCCATCCCAGCTCCCACATGGGCAGCCTCAGGGTAGCTACAGAAACAGAGCTAGACAGAGCAACCCTTTTCTCTGCCACAAGAGAAAGCTTTGTCTGGGCAAAAGTACTTTCGGTGTTTTGTGGTAAGGACTTCCGGAGCCCAGAACATTCTCAGAATACTGAAGGAATCCTCTGTAACCCCCACTTCACATGTGCAACTCCAAGTCTCTTTCGATAGTCCCTCCCTAGCTTTCACCATCTTTCTTGAGGCTGCTTTAGAAAACTTTAGAAAAAGAGGCAGGAATAAATGCTTTGATCTACTATATCTGAAGTGAACTGGGCCATAGGAGATCCTGGCCTTTGTGGGTGAGGGGACAGCAGTGTGTCTGGCATCAGGTATAGAATGTCCCCAGAACAGGATTTCCAGCCTGTTTAAAGTGATACAGTACATCCTGCCCCTTCCTCTTGGATATGCCATAGGACTCTCCGGAGTCAGAAGGGAAGAGCCAGTGAATGTACACAAACCGAAGTGTATGTGCCTTGTTGGTTCCAGCAAATAAACACATCAAAACAAATAGCAACGCTGCCACTGGCCTGGGAGGCATCCCACCTCTGCCCCAGAATTTCAACCTAGCAATCTGATTCCAAAACACATATTCTTACCACAACCTTAACTTACAGGGAATTGGGAAAGAATTTGGTGTTGTTCTTTACTCTTCTTGGTTTCTTATTTGTCTTTTTGAATTCCAGCAGAAAAAAAGGAGCCTTCTGACACAGCAGGAAGGGAAATTAACCTGGTATGTTCCATGCATCTGTTAAAACAAATGCAATCTATGTTATACCATCTTAATCTTGATATAATATTTTAAATTTAATAAGTCTATGTAACATTTACCCTGTCCCAGGAACTGTTCTAAATGCTATATATAGACTTACTTCTAAAAATGTGTTTATTTTTTTAATGTTTATTTATTGGAGAGAGAGAGAGAGAGAGAGCAGAGGAGGGGCAGAGAGAGAGGGAGACACAGAATCCGAAGCAGGTTCCAGGCTCTGAGCTGTCAGCACAGAGCCCGACACGGGGCTCGAACTCAACAAACTGTGAGATCATGACTTGAGCCAAAGTCGGACACTTAATCGACTGAGCCACCCAGGATGTGTTTATTTTACATTAATCTCCATCTGCAGCAAAGATTCTTCAGAATTCACAAGTCTCACAATAAGTGGCCTTTTGGAAGGGCATTAGTGGCAGGGTAGACCTGAAGCAGAAAAGTCAGAGAGTAGCTTGTACAGCCTTGGCTTGCTGTTGGCCTGTTATGTGACTTCAGGCTATTTAAATATTCTCACAAAAACACCTTAAAGTCTTTTGGTAGAGAATTGAGAGTTAATGAAAGAATGAACCATAAATAATCTCGTAAATGACATGTGATTTCTTCACAGACTCCCAGCAGCTAAAGAAACATGACCCTAAGTCTAGTTATTATGCAAAAACTCTCATAATGGGTGTGGGCTCATCAAGGAAGAGACCTCTCAGACAAAGCCAAGGGCATTTTGGAAGCAGTGTCGTTTCCCTACAAGTTCTTGGAAATCTAAACATAGGCTTTTTATTTGGGGCTCAATGTTGTGTAAATATTGGAACTCAAAAAAAATGGAAGATGAGGCAATACATTTCTGAAAAAATTTTTATGAGGGTCTTCAGTTAAAAACAAATAATCGTAAATGAGGTACTGCAAAGGAACGTGTCTGTGTGTGTGTGTGTAGTGTGTGTGTGTGTGTGTGTGTGTGTGTGTGTGCATGTTTCACTGTGGAAGGGTAGAGATAAAGTTGTAGTAACCTTCTCAAAAGTTCCAGAAATACCAAAGGCAGATACAGCCAATAATTTTATGTATAATATTAAATGACGCTCAGCATTCCTCACCAGGTTGCCCAATTTTAAATCAAACCAAATACATTCAACTTTGTAAACTCGTATTAAGTTTTTAGTAAGCAGCAGTAGGCATCATTGTGTTGTGTGCTGAAGTTTTGTTTTTTCAAGTAGGAAAATTTTCTTAAATGTTGTTTTCTTTCTTCCTATAGTGAACAACAACAAACTACATTCTGTTACAATCAGGACTGAGATCTATGAAACTATCTAAAACAATAATCTAAATAGTTTCTTGTTTAGATAAAGCCCAGCTTGGTTAAAATGTAGTCATATGTCTTCCTGTGTAGGCTGAACAAATTATTTATGATCTGAAGTTGAATTGAACGGGCTTCTCTATGTGTGCAATTATTTAGGAATTTTGTTTTAAGATGCCTGTGTCTTTTGCAGGAACTCACAGCTTTGGCCCATTTGAGTTGGCCAACATTTCAGAAAATATAGTAATGCCATATTAGATCTTTGAGATTAAAGATTTCTTAGGAAGGGACTTGTATTGAAATCAGTGGAATAGAAATCCAACGGAGAGAAAGGAACTGGTAAAATTATGGCAGGTACATATAAAAGCCGAAATTCTCATCTTATTCCACAATGGTCCCTGGAGTATATAAAAATAGTTAAAATACTGAAAACCCGGAACTGTGTATTTTTTTAAAGTGCTTTGTAAACTGTAAAATGGCATTACAAATATAGAGTAGGATAGTGGCTTTGGCGTTTGTCATCTCTATCCACAGATAGAGCCTTATGGCCTCCACCCACTTTCCTGAGGTCCTACAGGATAGGCTCAGCCACAGGACACCGTGTTTTCTTTTACATCATTCATTCTAACCAAGTTTTCCACAGAAACCAGCCATCTTTTGGGAAGGGAGCCAGGTAACTGAGTTGACAGACTTTTATACAATTGTTAAAGTACAACAGGGATCTTGTTGCTATATTGAGGACTTATGGCTATTTATTAGGTCACATGACAGTTTTCTTCTTCAAAGCTTCTTTGGAGAAATTACCCAGGTTCCTTCGAATGGGGGTTGGGACACTTTTCAGCTGAGCTAAGAGACTGAGGGGGGTAAAGCTATTCCTGCCTCATTCAATCATCCTGCCTTAGAGCTATTTCCTGGGCAGCCACCTCATTGAAGGCTAGCGGTGTACTCAGCATCTAATGCTTAGTTTCTCGGGATAGGGCCAGACGTGCACGTGTGGTAGAATTCTGCCAGGAAGGGGTAGGATATGGGTTACTTCACATACAAAATAGGGACGATAAAGGACCAGACAGGCATGTAGACTGTCAAAGACTGTGGATCTGATACCTTCACGGATTTAGACCAAACTTCATGTATGTAAATTGACTGGCAAAATTGTGATTAAAAATTGAATTAACAACTCTTAGAGTTAAAATAATATCTTCATTTTTACCTGGTAATGTCCTTGAATAGTTAGGAGTGGGTAACAAATAACTGAAAAGAGTGAGAAGCATCAGGACACATTTTATTTTAGTTTTTGTAAGTTCACCTCTTTTCCCCTTTTTTTTTCTTAATTTTTAAAAATATTTATTTATTTTTGAGAGAGAGAAAGCACGAGTAGGGGAGGGGCAGAGAGACGGGGAACAGAGGATCCGAAGCAGGTTCTATGCTGACAGCAGAAAGCCTGATGCGGGGCTCGAACTCACAAACAGTGAGATCATGAGCCCAAGTTGGATGCTTAACCGATTGAGCCACCCAGGTGTCCCTCTCTTTTTTTTTTTTTAAGTTCACCTCTTTCTCAGAAGCTTTAAGATATTTGAATTATTTGGAAGTATAATAATTTTCTTGTGATAATCCAAATATTGTAAAATTTTTCCTGCAGTTAGGCCCTCCTTTTCCAAAATTGAAAGCAATTTCTAATTCCAGGTTTTAAATCATAATAATGTATCTTGGATAACTCATCATATTTATTCTTTCTGACCCCTTAGAGGGCATCTGTTCTATTTTATTTTTAATCATTTACTTCTAAGCTGTGTTAATGCTATCCATTATCTTATAAGCTGTCTGAAGTTTCTTGTGGTATATTTATGCTTTTCTTATTAATTTGGGCTGAGAGATTGAAAAGTATTCTGTTGGGGCACTTGGGTGGCTCATTTGGTTAAACATATAGCTCTTGATTTTGGCTCAGGTCATGATCTCATGGTTCGTGGGATGGAGCACCATTTTGGGCTCTGTGCTAACAGTGCTAAGCCTGCTTGGGGTTCTCTCTCCCTCTCTCTACCCGTCCCCAGCTCATGCTCTGTCTCTCTCTAAATAAATAAATAAAACTTAAAGAAAAGTGTTCTGTGACCTCAAAAGTGAACAATAACAAAGCACAAAATAAGTACTTGGGAGGAACATAGTGTTCCTAAGACTTTCATCTTTTAACAAATAAGAATATGCTAAAAATGTGGATGTCAGCAGCAAATGTGAGGAAGAATAAATTATTTCTGGTGATGTGTTGACTCCATTTAGCATATACTAATAGTTTTCTAATTGTATGCACTACCACATCCTTAAATGGTAGTTAAAACAATCTTTTTTCTCTTATAGGTTGATATTCCCCAGCCCTTTCGGAGTGAGGAAACTGAAGTGGGAACCGGGCAAAATCCCCAAACACTGCTATCAGAAACTGGTACTTATGATAATGACCCCTGGTTCAGGGTCCAGGAAGACTCTGAAGTTTATTCTAACCCATGTCTGGAGGAAAACAAGCAGGGCATTGTTTACGCTTCTTTGAACCATTCTGTCATTGGAATAAACCCAAGACAATCAAGGAATGTGAAAGAAACACCTACAGAATATGCGGCCATATGTGTGAGGAGTTAAATTCGATCTTGATCTCCAACTGGTGATCACTGAAAGATATGCATGTCAACACCATTACCAAGCCCAACAAAAGGTTAAATAACATTCCTTGACCTGAGAAGCTTCACTTTAAGGAGGTTCATGTTGGTGCTCGGGTCTTAAGGGTTCATAGGACAAATGACTAAAATTTCTCCCCCCAAATTCTGAGGGAACTTTTTATATGACCCCCTTGAACAACAACACAAAAACCTTTCCCTCCAAGACTAAGTGATATTATGAGTAGCAGAGTGGCAGAATATTTAAACGTAGCTACATTTTACCCAATGTACAAAGCTAATATATTTTTTGGAGGATAAGAGACACATGTAAGTAAGAGAGGTTTGTGTTATCTGGATCAGTTCACTACACTCTCTTGACAAAGAAAGGATGTCCCAATTTGACTAACTAACCATCAACACAGTCATGATAATATGTTTATTTCATTCTTCCATGATGAGAAATATTCCTCTGTCCCTCTAATACTGTTTTTTTTTTTTAATGTAAAGAAGTAACTTTAGACTTGATATAAGAAAAGAATGGAAAGCATAAATGGTTCAGTAAAGATGTGGGCTACACCGACTACCGTAGAGCAGATGCTCCCTATACCTGACACGCAAATGGTTTTACATTGTTGAGCAAATATAGGTAGTAATGGAGCAATTAATGTGTGGTGCATTTATAAACAAAGTTGTGACTCAGTGGTTAGGTCACATGGACTAATGTATATGAATGTGATATAATGCTGCTGAATTAATATACTCGTGGTTGTTTAAATAAACATAAAAATAAGCATCATTGAGCAAATGCAGATTAATGACTTAAACTGCTTCATAGTTGATCTGATGGCAAATGAAAAGAACTATTAATGGAATGGAGAGGGGTGCCTGGGTGGCTCAGTCAGTTGAGCGCCCAACTGCAGCTCAGGTCATGATCTTGCGGTTCATGAGTTCGGGCCCCACGTCAGGCTCTGTGCTAACAAACAGCTCAGAGCCTGGAGCCTCCTTCGGATTCTGTGTGTGTGTCTCTCTCCCCCTCCCCTGCTCATTCTCTGCCTCTCTCTGTCTCTCAAAAATAAATAAATGTTAAAAAAAAAAATGGAATGGAGAAAAGTCTTGAATATTTAGTTGGCCAGCCCAGGTCACCATACTTTCACTAACCACATCTGTATCTTGCTGTTCTTCTTACTCCTTTCTAGGGAAGTCAGGGCAAATCATCCAGAGTGAAGTGGTATAGCTTCATAACAATTCATTAAAAATTTTGTAGTTGCAGCCACTTGAGTAGAGCAAAAAGAGATGGGTTCAAACTTTCTGAATTTCCAGAGTACTTGAGTCTATGTCAAAAATAGCCTACAACTTCATTCAACAGCATGAGTCTATTAGGCTTCTCAGGTGCTGCCACTGAAGAATGCAGTAGATTCTTCAGCAGCACAAATATGTGAGCTGCTGCACAAATGAATGCGGGATGTGTGTGTGTGTGTGTGTGTGTGTAAGGGAGGATAGATGACTTACAGAAGTGGTAAAAAAGACAAACTGACAAAACTGACATTCCATTTCAGTTTCCTAAAAAGTTTAAAATACTACAGCAAATGGATCATTTAAGAAAATGTATGAAAGTAATGTATGAAGTTGCGGGGACAGGAGTATGACATCCCATACAATTTTTTATGCCATGAAGATAAAACTGGGACTTTGTGGTGGAGCTTTCCTCATGTAACACTGGCATTAAGATTTTGCCCATTAGATTGAGATTGTGAGTCACTGTTATCTAGCCAGTGTGATATGGCTATACCCGAAATTTTGAGCAATCAGTTCCAGGTAGGCTCTTTCAGCCAAGCTGCATTTATGGGCAATTACGTACAAAAGATATATTAGAATAACTGTTTGTGGTATTCTTAAATATAGAAACAGGAAGTATGGGGAGGATACATTTAGCTGTCCTTATCAGATAAACACACAATGCTGAACAGTTCCTTCATAATTTTTTAAAAATTTAAACAAAATATGTCTGTGTATTATTGAGGATATTCTTAGCATGTCTTATAGTAAAAATAACGTTGGTAAAGATTTCACTTCTATAAATGATTTATTCTTACATTTGTACCATGCTGCCAAAATTCCAAATCATTGATGTTTTTATTCCTTCTTAATAAAACCTATCAGAGTTATACATGTATTTCCCCCAACAAATCTACTCAGTATTATTTACATGGTGTATTTAATTAAAGAAATATGAGAAAAAGAATATGTATATAATTTAATGATTTTTCATGAATTTTTTTGACAATTCAGGAGTATTTATTATTAATAGATACAAACGTCTTATTTCTTTTTTTTAAATTTCTTATGCAGATTTTCTTTTCTTTTTATTTTTTTTCAATATATGAAATTTATTGTCAAATTGGTTTCCATACAACACCCAGTGCTCATCCCATAAGGTGCCCTCTTCAATACCCATCATCCACCTTCCCCTCCCTCCAACCCCCATCAACCCTCAGTTTGTTCTGTTTTTTTTTTTTTTTTTTTATTTTTTTTTTCAACGTTTATTTATTTTTGGGACAGAGAGAGACAGAGCATGAGACAGTGAGGGGCAGGAGAGAGGAGACACAGAGATTCGAGGCATAGGCTCAGGCTCTGGGCCCATCAGCCAGCAGCCTGAGGCCAGCTGCGAACTCCGGACCCGTTGCGAGATCATGACCTAGACTAATCTGGCAGTAGCATCTTAACAGCTTGGCACCCAGAGTTTATATTCGTTTTTTTAGAGTCTCTTAGCTGCTTTGGCTCCTCTCCTCCCAACCCTTTTTTTTTTCCTTCCCCTCCCCCATGGGTTTCTGTTAAGTTTCTCAGGATCCACATAAGAGTGAAAACAGATTTTTCATGAATTTTAAGCTTCTTGATCGTTACCTATACGAAAGTAAAGTTATTAAAATTTATTTAGAATCAATTTGGTATTGGCTTTTGTACTAAAAACATGTGTGGACATGAAGTAGAAAGTGATTCTCAAACTTTATGGTACAAAAAACAGCCTGAAAAGCTTGATAAACTGTAAACTACCAACTGCTAGCACTAAGAAGTTCTAGTTCAGGAGATCCAGAATACGGTTCTACAATTTTCACAATGAAAGGCATCCCAGATAATTTAATGCAGGTTTCCCAGTGTAGAGGCTAGTTTGGTATATGTGGTTTATTTGATCAGTTTTGCCTACCAATGAAGACTTTCTAGGCCCCAGAATTGATTCTCTGGCCAGATTATCTCCCCTCCTCTCCCCTCCTTGCCCCTCCTCTCCCCTCCCCTCCTCTTCTCTTCTTTCCCTCCTCTTCTCTCTGTCTCTCAATTTACTTTAGGTTCAGTAAAGTTGAGTGGAAAGTACAGGGAATTCCCATGTATTCCCTGCCCCTGTGCATGCACAGCCTCCTTCATCATCAACATCTTGCACCAGAGTGGTACATGGTACACCTGTTACAATCAGTGAACAAACATTGACACATCATTATCAACCAAAGTCCATTGTTTACATTAGGATTCATTCTTGGTGTTTTAACTCTATTGGTTTTTACAAATGTATGGTGACATGTATCCTTTATTATAGTAATGTACATAATAGTCTCACTTCCCTAAAAATCTTCTGTGCCCTATCTATTTATCCTTCCCTCCCCCAATCTCCTGACAACCACTGATCCTTTTACTATCTCCACAGTTTTGCTCTTTCCAGAATGTCATACAGTTGGAACCATATGTATTCATTGACTTCCTTCACTTAATAATATGCACTTAAGATTCTTCCATGTCTATTTGTGTATTGATACCACATTTATTTCTATTTTTTATTTTTTAATGTTTATTTATTTTGAGAGAGAGAGAGATCGCACAAGTGGGAGAGGGGCAGAGAGAGAGGGAGAGAGAGAATCCCAAGTGGGCTCTACACTGACAGTAGAGCCAGATGCTGGGCTCAGTCTGAGGAATGATGAGATCATGACCTGAGCTGAAATCAGTTGCTTAACCGACTGAGCCACCCGGGCGCCCCATTGATAGCTCATTTGTTTTTTTTAGCACTGAATAATATTCTATTGTTTGGAGGTAGCACAGTTTATTTATCCAATCACTTACATTTTGGTTGTTTCCAAAAGTTGACAATTATGAATAAAGCTGCTACAGTCATTCCTATGCAGGTTTTTGCATAGATAGACATCAGTTTTTAACTCATTTGAGCAAATACCGTATGATTTCAGGATGGTAAGAGTGTGTTTAGTTTTGTAAGAAACTGTCAAAATGCCTTCCAAAGTGGCTGTACCATTCTGCATTCCCACTAACAATGAAGGAGAGTTCCTGTTGCTCTACATCGTCACTGGCATCTGGTGTTATCACTGTTCTGGATTTTATCCATTTTAATAGGTGTGTCATAATATCTCTTTGTCCTAATTTGCAATTTCCTATTAACAACATATGATGTTGATCATCTTTTTATAGTCTTATTTGCTATCCGTGTATCTTCTTGGCAAGGTATCTATTCAAATCTTTTACACATGTTTTAAATTGGGTTGCTTGTCTGCTTATTGTTGAGTTTTAAGAGTTATTTGCATAGTTTGGAGAACAATGTTTTAAGAAATACAGCTTTTGCAACTGTTTTCTCCCAGGTTGTGGATTGTCTTCTCATTCTATTAATGGTCATATCATTTATTTGCTTTTTTAAAATATTTTTTAACTTAAAGAGACATAGCAAGTAAGGGAGAGGGACAGGGGGTAAGAGAGAGAATCTTAAACAGGCTCTATACTCAACACACAGCCCAACTTGGGGGTGGATCCCCTGACCTGAGTCATGACCAGATCATGACCTGAGCTGAAATAAAGGGTCAAACACTCAACAACTGAGCCACCCAGGCACCCCAGAACATTTATTTGTTAAATTTGTTGCCATATTAGACTCTGGGCTTCTTATGGGTGAGATTAGGTTACATTTCTTTTTAGTTTCTTATCCCAGTGTTTGGCACACAGTAGAATTAAATAGTGTTTAAGGAGTGGATGATATTGTTTGTGAAGTGAGTCGTCTAATTCCTTGCTACTCAAAGGATGGTCTTCAAGTTGGTAGCATGGACATCCTCTGGGAACTGTTAAAAATGTAGAATTTCAGTCTTCACCTACTAAATAAGAATCTGCATTTTTCACAAGATCACTCAGATGATTTGTGAAGCTTAGCC